CTCCTCACCTCCTCGCCTCTTCGCCTCCTCACTCTTCGCCTCTTCGCCTCCTCACTCTTCGCCTCTTCGCCTCCTCACCTCTTCGCCTCTTCGCCTCCTCACCTCTTCGCCTCTTCGCCTCCTCGCCCTTCGCCTCCTCGCCTCCTCGCCTCTTCGCCTCCTCGCCTCCTCGCCTCCTCGCCTCCTCGCCTCCTCGCCTCCTCGCCTCCTCGCCTCCTCGCCTCCTCGCCTCCTCGCCTCCTCGCCTCCTCGCCTCCTCGCCTCCTCGCCTCCTCGCCTCCTCGCCTCCTCGCCTCCTCGCCTCCTCGCCTCCTCGCCTCCTCGCCTCCTCGCCTCCTCGCCTCCTCGCCTCCTCGCCTCCTCGCCTCCTCGCCTCCTCGCCTCCTCGCCTCCTCGCCTCCTCGCCTCCTCGCCTCCTCGCCTCCTCGCCTCCTCGCCTCCTCGCCTCCTCGCCTCCTCGCCTCCTCGCCTCCTCGCCTCCTCGCCTCCTCGCCTCCTCGCCTCCTCGCCTCCTCGCCTCCTCGCCTCCTCGCCTCCTCGCCTCCTCGCCTCCTCGCCTCCTCGCCTCCTCGCCTCCTCGCCTCCTCGCCTCCTCGCCTCCTCGCCTCCTCGCCTCCTCGCCTCCTCGCCTCCTCACCCTCCTCGCCTCTTCGCCTCCTCACCTCCTCGCCTCTTCGCCTCCTCACCTCTTCGCCTCTTCGCCTCCTCACCTCTTCGCCTCCTCGCCTCCTCGCCTCTTCGCCTCCTCGCCTCCTCGCCTCCTCGCCTCCTCGCCTCCTCGCCTCCTCGCCTCCTCACCTCTCTCCCCTCCTCACCTCCTCGTCTCCTCGCCTCCTCGCCTCTTCGCCTCCTCGCCTCTTCGCCTCCTCGCCTCCTCGCCTCTTCGCCTCCTCGCCTCCTCGCCTCCTCGCCTCCTCGCCTCCTCGCCTCCTCGCCTCCTCGCCTCCTCGCCTCCTCGCCTCCTCGCCTCCTCGCCTCCTCGCCTCCTCGCCTCCTCGCCTCCTCGCCTCCTCGCCTCCTCGCCTCCTCGCCTCCTCGCCTCCTCGCCTCCTCGCCTCCTCGCCTCCTCGCCTCCTCGCCTCCTCGCCTCCTCGCCTCCTCGCCTCCTCGCCTCCTCGCCTCCTCGCCTCCTCGCCTCCTCGCCTCCTCGCCTCCTCGCCTCCTCGCCTCCTCGCCTCCTCGCCTCCTCGCCTCCTCGCCTCCTCGCCTCCTCGCCTCCTCGCCTCCTCGCCTCCTCGCCTCCTCGCCTCCTCGCCTCCTCGCCTCCTCGCCTCCTCGCCTCCTCGCCTCCTCGCCTCCTCGCCTCCTCGCCTCCTCGCCTCCTCGCCTCCTCGCCTCCTCGCCTCCTCGCCTCCTCGCCTCCTCGCCTCCTCGCCTCCTCGCCTCCTCGCCTCCTCGCCTCCTCGCCTCCTCGCCTCCTCGCCTCCTCGCCTCCTCGCCTCCTCGCCTCCTCGCCTCCTCGCCTCCTCGCCTCCTCGCCTCCTCGCCTCCTCACCTCTTCGCCTCTTCGCCTCCTCACCTCTTCGCCTCTTCGCCTCCTCACCTCTTCGCCTCTTCGCCTCCTCGCCTCCTCACCTCCTCACCTCCTCGCCTCCTCGTCTCCTCACTCGCGCGGCGCCACACTTCCTGCTCCCTCCACACCGCACCACCGTCCACCGCGCTCCACTCCTCCAGGCCCTCACACCCCGCCCTGCGGCTAGCAGTGGTAACAAGCAGCAGTATCCCTCACACACCTCCACCTCTCTACTGCTGCTGTCTCTGACGCCCTTGTGTTACACCTCGCCCAGTCCCGTCCCCAAACGGTATGCTAGCTCCTCACCACTCTCCACCGCACTCTACTCCCCCTCCACGCACTCACAACCCGCCCTGCGAGCTGAAGTGGTTACAAGCAGCAGTATCACCCTCACCCACCTTGATCTCTCCGAATTACTCTGTCTCCCCTGTTCATTCTCCTCCCCCCGGCTCACTTTGTTTCCCCGCACGCTTCCAGCCCCTTCCCGTCACCCCTGCCATTGCCCTCTCTCCCGCTCCCATTTCCTTCCCGCGTCCAGTCCCCCACTGCCCCCCTTCCTTTCCCCCACTCCCGCACGCCCATTCCCTACCGCCCCCTTTACGTTGCCATTCCTTCCCCAGTATGCTACCATTCCGTACCCAGTTCACCCTTCCATTCCTTTCCATTTCATGCTACCATTTCCCCCCACCCCCTTCCATTCCTCCCTATTTCACGCTACCATTCCCCCCCTGCTCGGCTTATTTCCCCCTTTGCACGCCCCTATATTCCCCTTCTCACTCGCTTGCCCATTGCTCACCCTCTCGCCCGCTGCTCACACCCTTTCTCCCTGAACTCACCCATCTTTCCCCTCTGTTTACTCTCTTCTCCCTTCGTTCAACCCTTTCCCACCCCCAACTCCTCTCATTTCCCCTTTGCTCACCCCCTACTCCACCCTGCTCTCTCTCTCTCTCCCTGCGACTAGGACGAGCTGCAGAGCATAGTGCGCAAGATAGTGTACCACAAGCAAGGAGCAGTCAGCCTTTTCGAGCTTCACCACTACATGCAGTCACACCCTGGGGTGAGCTTACTGCCTTGAGTGCTTGCTGATGCTTGCAACCCTTTCTTTTCAAATCAGTCCCAACCACTCAGTCCTCCAAACATGTGCGCTGCTGCCTCTGTGCCGGAAGCATGTGCAGGCGCTGCTGGAGGCATGAGATGGCCTTCCAGAGCGGTGCCTGCAATGCTGGTGGCAGAGGAGCAGCACTTGCCCTTTAGTGTGCTGCCGTCCAATGTGGCACAATGGGGGGCGGGCGATGGTGGGAGCTATGGGAGCAGTGCAGCTGATGCAGCGGCGTATGAGATGTCCAAGGGGAGGCTGAATAGGCAGCACTCAGGTGTCAACCTCAGATACTGATGGCGCTGAGGTGACCATGCACAAGGGTGTTAGGGAAGTGAGCAAGTGGTTAGGCTAGAGATATGTATTTTGCACTCAGTCAATCGTAGGAAGCACTTGCTGGCATCCTTGCTAGGTCAACTACAAAGGCGACATACTACAGATTTTTACTTCGGCAAAACAAAATACACAGCGAAGTTCCAACACTTGATCACAGCTGTAATCCAATGTGCATGATGCAGATTCTTCCTGGTCTAGTCTCCAACCACCTTGAGCAAGCTATCTCCCAGCGATGGCCTTGAGCTCATCGTCCCCCACAACAGCAGCTGCCAGGTCAAGCTCCTCCCTGTCCGGCTCCCTGGACTCCAGGTTCGGGTCCTTGCCGAACTTAAACGGCGGGCGGCCCGCCTGCGTGAACGGCATGAGCCCAAACACCCGCGCGGTTTGGATTTCCCGAGCCATGCGGCGCTGCGCCTTGGCAGACAGCCGAGTCTGCAGGATTGGATAGTGACAGACGGCGACATGGCATGAGGAGTGGAGGAGGTGAAAGACATGCAAGTGCGCTTGTTGATGTGGAGGAAAAGGGTTTACAGGGAGTGTGAGTGAGGAGGATAGGCACACATGGCAGTGCGCTCTGTAACTCGTACGAGGAGTGAGAGTAGGGAGGATAAGCAGGCAGCACAGACAGTAGTGCAGTTTGGAACCTAACATGAGGAGAGTGAGATTGCCAGCTCACCTTGTTTCTGGGCTTGATCTTGCCGGTTTCAGAGATGAATTGTGACAGGAAGCGCACGTTCTGAAGGGGAAGGAAGGGAGGACGCAGAGAGTGCTAAGCAATCAAAAACAGTTTACAGGCAACCTCTCATAAGGGCCTGCAAGCATTTTGAGACGTCTCAAAACACTTCTTCAACCTCTCATAAGGGCCTGCAAGCATTTTGAGACGTCTCAAAACACTTCTTCAACCTCTCATAAGGGCCTGGAAGCATTTTGAGACGTCTCAAAACACTTCTTCAACCTCTCATAAGGGCCTGGAAGCATTTTGAGACGTCTCAAAACACTTCTTCAACCTCTCATAAGGGCCTGGAAGCATTTTGAGACGTCTCAAAACACTTCTTCAACCTCTCATAAGGGCCTGGAAGCATTTTGAGACGTCTCAAAACACTTCTTCAACCTCTCATAAGGGCCTGGAAGCATTTTGAGACGTCTCAAAACACTTCTTCAACCTCTCATAAGGGCCTGGAAGCACATGCACCTAGCTCTTGACCCCGTCAGCAGAGTTTCCCGTTCCACTATGCCCCTGTGTGCTGCCCAGACTCCCATAGGAAGCTGGATACACTCGTACGCAATGTGAGCCACCCATGTGCTTAGGGAGGGGCTGGGAGATGTGCAGCTCCTGCCACGCACAAGAGCGAAACACACCGCACATGCCTGAGAAAGACCCATGCACAAGCTCGATGCACTCTACACTCATAAGCCGTGCACCACAGAGAGACACAAGCCCCCAGTAATCTCTGAGAGGGGCTGGGGAGCACCTCAACTGCTCTCACCTCAGCCCCTCCCACGTACCCCCCCCCCCTTGCCCCTTCCCCGCTTTCTTATGTCCTTCCCCCTCACTCCTCCCCCTCTCCCCAGCTCCTCCGCCCCCCCCTCTGCCCCCCGTACCTCCCTGTGCACCGCCCTCTTCCATAGCCTCCTTCCTCTTCCTCCACCACCTCTGCTCTCCCTCCCTCCCCTCTCTCCCCTATTTCCCCTCCCACTCTCCTCCCTCCCATCCTCTCTTCCCCAACTCTCCTCCCTCCGCTCCTCTCTCCCTCATCCTCCTCGTCCTCCTCATCAGGCCCAATCAAAGTCTCTAGCTCATCGAAATCTCGGGAAGAGAGAGCAGAGGAGGAGAAGGAAGAGGGGGAGTGAGGGGAGAAGTGGTGGGGGGGAGGGCGGAGGGGGGGGGAGGCGGAGGGGGACTGGGCCGTGCCCGATTGCCTGCTTAGCTTGGCTGCTTTGAGGGACGGGGACGGGGGTTGGGAGGACAGGGAGAGATGCAGGGAAGGATGTGGGGTGGGGGGCGCGATGTAGGCAAAAGAGATAGAGAGAGAGAGAGAGAGAGAGAGAGAGAGAGAGAGAGAGAGAGAGAGAGAGAGAGAGAGAGAGAGAGAGAGAGAGAGAGAGAGAGAGAGATGTCAGGGAGGTGAGGAATGGGGAAGAGGAGCGGAGGCAAAGAAAAAGGCGCATGGGCAAAGTGAAATGGACGGACGACACAATGAGAGGGGAGGTGACGTGCGATGGACCACCCACCTACTGCCATGCGCGCCTGCTGCTTACGCCCCTCCTTGCCTCCCCCCTCGCCGTCCTCTGCCAGGCAACCAGGCACGCACACGTGCAGCACACATGCAATACACGTGTAAGCCAAACGCGCTGATGAGTGCCACGTGGCAGGACAAGGTTCCACCAACGAAACAGTGCGCGCGTGGCAGGGATGACCTGGCTACCTAGAGCTTGGAGTGAGAAGGTGCACGTTGTAACTGCATTCATTTGCCCCTAGAGTGTGACACTGCCACGTGTTCTGTGTGTGAGACTGCCACGTTCAGCAGCACTCACTGGAGAGCGCCTGCTGGATTTACTGCCGCAACTCCCCGTCCTCCTCCTTCCGCCCCTCCGCCTCCTGCCTCCGCCCCGCCTCCCCCGACCCCCCGCCACCGCCGCCCGCATTCTGATCCGCGCTGGCTGCTGCTGGGGCTGGGAGCGCGGCGGAGTGGAATGGCGCTGCAACGGGGAAGAGGGCGAGACGAGGAGAGGGATAGGCATGGTTGAATGAAAGGTGAGGTGCGAGATTGTGCATAGTGATCTGAGAGGGAGGAGGGGGCTTAGAGCGGGGAGGAGCAGGGAGCGGGGAGGGAGCTCGAGGTGGGGAGGGCGGGTCTACATGGCCAATCATTGCCCTCACCAGCGCCACGTGGCTGCGATCTGAGCGCAATGAAGCCCCCAGCGATCGCATCAGCGCAAGGGATGCGCGCGGAGAAGGAACTGGTAAGGGGATGGCGGAGCAGAACGGATGACGTCAGCATGATTGATGGCGGTGGGGTTTGAAGAGTTTGATCGAAGGTTTGTAACGGGGACAGATCGATGTGATCGGTCGGTCCAGATACTCTCGACGTACGCGGAGATCCCGGCGTGACGTCGCTCACATCGGCCAAGATGACGTCACTGAAGCCACGACTCGCTGGCCTTCTCTCAAGCCTATCGTTGTTATCGAGCTGCGCATACGTCCAGCGCGGTTTTTTGGCGAATAGCTCTTGCTCAGAGACTATAATAGTAGTTCTTAGATAGCGGGACTAATCCCTGGCATTTTGGGACAGGTTTCTCTGGCCTAGCGGGTCATGTTTGTTGAGGTTGGTGTTGGGCGATTTTACCGTGCGATGTTGGTAGGGCTGAAACGTCGTTGCTACAGTGCTTTTGGTTGGCGAAAGTTGAGTTCGGGGCTCGTGTGCTGACCTTGTTGGCCCCTGGTGGGAACCGGGTTACACCCAACCAAAGTTAGGAAGCTTGAACCAGTTTCGTGCTTCTTGACCCTCCGGTTTTAAATTGCCAAAACTGTAAAATTTGGCTGTAAAAGAGTCGACGCGGATTCGGCCACCTCGTCGTTGTTCGCGAAAAATATGACGACCATTTGGTCGTTGAAAATTCGGCCACACCCCATATTCAGAATTGCGTGGGGATTTAACACGCCCTTACATTCATATGTCCGTGACGTGATTAGATTCGTTTCAGTCCTGGGAACTTCAGCAATCTTCGCAGCGGTTGCCGGGATTTTAGGTGAAACTGAGTGATTATCTGTACTGCGGGACCCTGAGTGTAGCAATGGCTGTCAATGCGGCTCGGCTGGCTCCAGCCAGTGTCTCGTCCGCGTCGCACATCAGCAGTAGGTTCGCCGGCGTCAGTAGCTTCAGCAAGGGTCGAGCTTGGCCGTCAGTAATAATGACGGTGCCAAAGGCAGCGGTTCACCACCGGCTTGCCGTCAGAGTCAGTAAAGGAAGGTTGGAACAAGCAGCTCACTCAAGAATGCGGATATCGCGTTGTCTAATAGCGAGATCGAGCATGCAGGATGGCATAGATGGGCCAGATGACGCAAGTTTAGCGAGCGTAGAATTGAACGGCCATGACTGTTTACGAACGACCCATTCTGCGACCGGCCGTTCGTCCCCTAAAACGAATTCTCAGTCTGTGCGTGAAGGAATCGCGACGGAATCCAGCTCAGACGCAGTCGTAAACTCGAGTGATTATATCGGGGGACGGAGGAAATTGCTCCTACTCGGAGCCGCCACTGGATTGTGGGGTCTAACTCCGTTCCTCCTGCCAAATGCAGCCTCTCGTTACAGTCACGCCCGGGCATTTGATTTGTTCGGATTCGGAACAGAAGCTTCCAGCTCTGCCTCGGCTTCTGCCTCGGGATCCATGTCACTTTCCATGTCATTTTCCGCGTCAGCATCCGCTTCCGCATCCACGTCAGCAGCCACGTCAGCGTCGTCATCAGCTACTGCAATCGCAGGAAATTCGGGAGGGCCTGTACCTCCAGCTAGGATTGACCTAGCGGCTGCACCCAGAGGGACATTCGACCCCACTGATGAGAAGCTCCGGGCTGCTGCCACCACGTTTGAACGCGCCCTCACTGCTTCCACTGTACGTTCATGAGACTAACCTGTGACTGTATGTGGACCACCCCTAGACTAGTGTATTCATGCGTTCATGTCACCACCTTTGAACGCACCCTTACCGTGACTATTTAATGGCCACCTTTACGCTATTGTATTGACTTATCGACGGCCCGGATTGTGCGTGCTGGCAGGTGGAGGAGGAGGAGGCGCTATGGACGGTGGTGATTCAATCGTGCGAGCGGGCAGGCAATGCTGAATGGGTGCCAGACATCGCATCGAGAGCACTGGGCAACCGAGGCAATGCGCGGTCGAGACAGGGAAGACTGGAGGAGGCTCTAGCTGACTACAACGCTGCCATTGCCTACGCCCCGTACGTGGTGGTAACCCTAGAGAGCTTATTGCACAATGTGCGGTCCCAGCAAGGAAGACTGATGGAAGCTCTTGGGGACTACAACGCTGCCATTGGCTATGCTCCGTGTGTGCTCTGTGCTGTGTGCTGCTCTGTTTGTGCTCTTTGATGTCTAAGTCAAAGGCAATCTGGAAAGTCAATTCCCCCCTCTGCTCACCCATTCCCCCCTCGGCTCACCCATTCCCCCCTCCGCTCACCCATTCCCCCCTACGCTCACCCATTCCCCCCTCCGCTCATCCCCTTCCCCCCCCCCGCATACCCTGCCATCAGCTATGCAGTCGACCCGGTCCTCAACCGAGGCGTGGCCCTGGAGTCGCTGGGACGCTTCCAGGAAGCTGCAGCGGACTACTCAGCAGTGCTGGCGGTGGCGCCTAACGACCCTGCAGCGTGGAACAACCTCGGGAATGCGCAGGTGGGGATGATGGAGTCAATGTGGTGAATGGATTTGATGAGGCACGGGCACATGCATGGCAGTGCTGGCAGTGGCGCCCAACGACCCGGCAGCGTGGAATAACCTCGGCAACGCACAGGTGGGTAGATGTGGGAAACGTTCAAATGAGAGATAATGGGGATAACCGGGTCAATGGGTCAATATGGGTCAGCATGGGTCAACATGGGTCAAGGGGGCACATGCATGGCAGTGCTGGCAGTGGCGCCCAACGATCCTGCAGCGTGGAACAACCTTGGCAATGCACAGGTGGGAGACGTGGTTATGGGGGTCAACGGGGTCAACGGGGTCAACGGGGCCAACCTGGTCAACGGGATGAACAAGGTCAACGGGGATCAACAGGGGTAATGGGCAATGCACAGGTGGGCCACCAGATGGTGCTCTCAACCTCATGAACCAACTCCTAGACCAAACCCCGTCATGCAAGCTGGTGTGGGAGCGGGGGGGGAAGCAAAGGAGAGCTACTAGTTGCTGTTGAGCAAACAGGGACCACTTCCCATTCCCCCTTTCCCTATCCCCTCGCCCATTCCCCCATCCCTCCCTTCTTGACTTTTGAGTCGACTCAAAAGTCAACTCATATCCTCTCGCCCATTCCCCCATCTCTCCCTTCTTGACTTTTGAGTCGACTCAAAAGTCAACTCCTATCCCCTCGCCCATTCCCCCATCTCTCCCTTCTTGACTTTTGAGTCGACTCAAAAGTCAACTCCTATCCTCTCGCCCATTCCCCAATCTCTCCCTTCTTGACTTTTGAGTCGACTCAAAAGTCAACTCCTATCCTCTCGCCCATTCCCCCATCTCTCCCTTCTTGACTTTTGAGTCGACTCAAAAGTCAACTCCTATCCTCTCGCCCATTCCCCCATCTCTCCCTTCTCTGTGTACGGATGCCGATCGGACATGCCAATCTGATGTGCAGGCGGGTGTGGGAGCGTGGGGGGATGCAGTGGAGAGCTACAGGCGGGCCAGCATGCTGGCTCCGGCCTTCTCCTTTGCTGCTGCCAACTACGCACTCGTGAGTATTACTCTTCTTCAACCTACGCACTCGTGAGTATTACTCTTCTTCAACCTACGCACTCGTGAGTATTACTCTTCTTCAACCTACGCACTCGTGAGTATTACTCTTCTTCAACCTACGCACTCGTGAGTATTACTCTTCTTCAACCTACGCACTCGTGAGTATTACTCTTCTTCAACCTATGCACTCGTGAGTATTACTCTTCTTCAACCTACGCACTCGTGAGTATTACTCTTCTTCAACCTACGCACTCGTGAGTATTACTCTTCTTCAACCTACGCACTCGTGAGTATTACTCTTCTTCAACCTCCGCACTCGTGAGTATTACTCTTCTTCAACCTCCGCACTCGTGAGTATTACTCTTCTTCAACCTACGCACTCGTGAGTATTACTCTTCTTCAACCTACGCACTCGTGAGTATTACTCTTCTTCAACCTACGCACTCGTGAGTATTACTCTTCTTCAACCTACGCACTCGTGAGTATTACTCTTCTTCAACCTACGCACTCGTGAGTATTACTCTTCTTCAACCTACGCACTCGTGAGTATTACTCTTCTTCAACCTACGCACTCGTGAGTATTACTCTTCTTCAACCTACGCACTCGTGAGTATTACTCTTCTTCAACCTACGCACTCGTGAGTATTACTCTTCTTCAACCTCCGCACTCGTGAGTATTACTCTTCTTCAACCTACGCACTCGTGAGTATTACTCTTCTTCAACCTACGCACTCGTGAGTATTACTCTTCTTCAACCTACGCACTCGTGAGTATTACTCTTCTTCAACCTACGCACTCGTGAGTATTACTCTTCTTCAACCTACGCACTCGTGAGTATTACTCTTCTTCAACCTACGCACTCGTGAGTATTACTCTTCTTCAACCTCCGCACTCGTGAGTATTACTCTTCTTCAACCTCCGCACTCGTGAGTATTACTCTTCTTCAACCTACGCACTCGTGAGTATTACTCTTCTTCAACCTACGCACTCGTGAGTATTACTCTTCTTCAACCTACGCACTCGTGAGTATTACTCTTCTTCAACCTACGCACTCGTGAGTATTACTCTTCTTCAACCTACGCACTCGTGAGTATTACTCTTCTTCAACCTACGCACTCGTGAGTATTACTCCTCTTCAACCTCCGCACTCGTGAGTATTACTCTTCTTCAACCTCCGCACTCGTGAGTATTACTCTTCTTCAACCTACGCACTCGTGAGTATTACTCTTCTTCAACCTACGCACTCGTGAGTATTACTCTTCTTCAACCTCCGCACTCGTGAGTATTACTCTTCTTCAACCTACGCACTCGTGAGTATTACTCTTCTTCAACCTACGCACTCGTGAGTATTACTCTTCTTCAACCTACAAACCCGATGCTTCCAAGCTTGTTCTTTGCTGCTCTGAGTTTACTCTGGATATTTAGCACAACTGTATCCCTCATCTTTATCCCCCATCCTCACCCCTCTATAACCACCTCCCCGCCACCCCCCAAACATCTCTTCTTCTTCCCCCCTCCTTCTCTATTCTTCTTCATCCCTCATCCATTCTCCATGCCCATCACTTATCTATTCTTCTTCACCCCTCAACCCTCACCGAACATCCCCCGCCCCTCACCCCTCACCCCTCACCCCTCTCCCCCCCCGTTGAGAATTCTCACATGTTCCCACCCTCCCACCTTTCTTACGTGGTTTTGAGTCGACTCAAAAACTTTCTTACGTGGGCCCTCATTCCGTGATTGTCACTCCTCACCCCCCCATCCCCACCCTTCTCCCTTGTCCCCTCACCAGGCGCTGTACGAGGTGGGAAACGACAACGCTGCTGTCAAACAGATGAGGAACCTTCTCCGAAAGTACCCCGAGGTGAGTGACGGTGCAGAATAATAGCGACATGTGTATGTATGCATGATGCATGAGGTGAGTGAGTGGCGCTGCATTGTCACTCACCTCAGATGTATCTATGCATGATGATGCATGGGGTGAGTGAGTGGTTCTGCCATCGGAGCAGTGCTGTCATGGATCACTTTGTATCACTGTAAGCTCTCTTTCCCATTTTCTAAGGCGATTTTTGAGGCGCCTCAAAATCGGTACTGCCATCTGAGCAGTGCTGTCATGGATCACTTTGAATCACCGTGAACCTCTCTTTCCCATTTTCTCATCCTTACTCCCGCTCCCCTGCACCTCTGCAGTTCCCCGACATGCGAGCCGCGTTTTTTGAGATGTCTCAAAAGATCCTTACTCCCGCTCCCCTGCACCTCTGCAGTTCCCCGACATGAGAGCAGCGCTGGCAGTGGCACCCTATGCAGCGGGGTTGAGGGAGCCTGGAGAAGATTGGGTGTGAGCTCTCTTCCCCCTGTTCTTCTCTCCTCTTCCCCCCCCGCTCCCCTGCACCTCTGCAGTTCCCCGACATGCGAGCAGCGCTGGCAGTGGCACTCTATGCAGCGGGGCTGAGAGCTGAGGCTGAGACCGCCTGGAGCAGAGTTGACGTGAGCACTCTTTTCTTTCCTTTCACCCTCTCTGTTCTCATTCCGCACATCTGTTTTGGGTCGACTCAAAACTAATCCATTCCTTTCAACCTCTCTATTCTCATTCCGCATATCCGTTCATCCTTCCTCTCCCCTCCCCTGAAGCCTGTATTTCCCTGCTATTTTTCTGCAACCATGGGACTACCTAATGCTTCTCTCCTTGTTACCTTACTCCGCTCCTCTCTAACTCCTTTCCCCTCTAACTCCCTTCCCTTAAGCCAAGCTTGCCGTTATCAAGAGGGGGGTACTGAAGATCGACTCACTTCTCCTGCCTATGTTCCCTGCCAGTCTCCCCAGACTCGCCTTCCCCACATGAACTCCATGCCCTGTCTGCTCTGCCTGCCAACTTCCAAGCTCCATCCTTCTCGTCCCAACCATCCCCTTCTCCATGCTCCCATCAGGACGGGCGCAATCCCGACCGCGAGAGGCTCTGCTGGTATCGCCGCTGCCCTCCAGACAGGAGGTCTCTCCTCCCGGCATCTCCTCCCTGCCTTCCAGGCTCCCTCTCCTCTGTCTCCTCCCAACGCTCTTCCCCCCACCTCCTCCCACCACTCCCCTCCCCATCCTCCCATCAACGGGCATTGTCGCGATCGTGAGTGGGTGAGCGAGTATCGCTGCTGGCCCTTACCTGTGCTCCCAGCCTCCCTACTCCACCCCCTCCCACCACTCCCCTCCCCCCTCCTCCCATCAGGACGGCCGCTATCGCGGTCGCAAGTGGGTGAGCGAGTATTGCTGCTGGCCCTTACCTGTGCTCCCAGCCTCCCTGCTCCACCCCTTCCCACCACTCTTCTTCCCATCCTCCCATCAGGACGGCCGCTATCGCGATCGTGAGTGGGTGAGCGAGTATCGCCGCTGGCCCCCTCGCCTCGTTTCAGAGCTAGCAGCCTTTCTTGACCTCAAGCCAGTGTAGCTGCTTCCTTTGCGAGCATAATGAGGCATATTATCGTATTTAATTATTTGTGCCGCTGGCCACTCAGCAGCCTTTCTTGACCTCAACCCAGAGTAGCTTGCAGCTTGATCAATTGCCTCGATGGGGCATTTGATTCATTTACCGCAGCAGCCTTATGTTGCATCAAATTCATGTACCGTACATCGCAGCTAGGTTGGCTGTCGCAATGAGACAATTAAGTTTTCTAACCTTCGACGAGTGTGTTGTAATGTATAGTGTACAAAAGCTTGTTTGTATACGAGCCATCGTAAGCCAAATTATGGAGGCAAGTTACATACACGAATATTTATGGAGGCATTGTTACAGCCTTTATTACTGTATTATCAGACTAATCACCCCCCATTCCAGCCCCTGGTGTAACAGTTGCCCCTGCATTGTCTCCATAGTAGCTACCACTGGTGTTGTTGTAGCCACTGCTGTTGCTGTTGTTGTCACTGTATATGCTGGCATTCCTGTAGCTGGTGTTACCAGAAATGGTAACGTTACTGTAGCTGTTGTTACCAGAAATGGTAACATTACTGTAGCTGCTACCACTATTATCAATGCTGCCATTAATAAACCTGTTGCGGCTGTTATCTATGCTGACATTACTGTAGCTGTTGCCGTTATTGTAGGTGCTTTCATTGATATACCTGTTGCCGTTGTTATCGATGTTGATATTATTGTAACGGTTGCCACCTCCCCCGTCACCACCGCAGTCAGCACCACATGATTCTGTACAGTTACCGCTTCCACAGCCACTCACGTTATCAACATCCCCCACATTCCCAACCCCACCATGTTTATTCACCTCCCCCACCCTACCATGCTTCTCCCCTCCACCACTCCCCTCACCATGCTGATTCTGGTAATGACTCTTCTCATCACCATGCGTCCCGCCAGTCATCCTCTCCTCTAAATGGCTACTGCCGCCGCTGCTCCCCATACTGTGACCCTCCATACCACCAGCACCATGAGCGCTCCGCTGTGACTGTGGCTCGTTCTGACTCACAGTACCATTGTCCTTGGCCGTTGCTTTGGTAACCGCAATCTGGGTCTGCCTGGTGATCGTCCCGCTGTTGTTCAGCTCACGAATTCCCGAGATTTCCACTGGCCCTTGAAACACGTACGACCGTATGTTGATGCTGCTGGGGAACGGCTTGTGTGCCAGTAACGAAGGCTTCCATAACGAAGAATCACTGTAGTGCTCCTTTGATTTCTTGCTCTTGTGCGACTTCCCACACTTGGACCTTTTTTTACAGTCGCTGCCTCCTTTCCCTCTTGAGCCGCTTCTCTTCTTACGGCTCCCTTGCTGCAGCTTGCGCACTGTAAACCACAAGGAGGAAAGATGTGAAAAGGGAGAAGTGTGGGAAGAGGGGAGGTGGGGGACGACTTTTGAGGCGCCTCAAAAAGACTCGTGTTTATCACGCATGACCTGGGCCTCAGAGAGAGAGGATTCATGAACAGGGTCTGCAATTCAGGAGAGTCTGCTTGGAGGCATGGGATGGAAAGACTCCAAATATTAGCACCAGAGAGATGATTCAGATTGATTTCCTCACCTCGCTTGTCCACATCTTCTAGAAGCTTCTGTCGGAGCTGCTTCAATTCACGGCTCACAGCGCGTTTCACCTCGTCCTGCATCCATGCCTCCATGCCCCTCCGCGTTTCCTCATCCACCGCTGCCACCACCGCCACCTTCCGCTGCTTGCCCCCGCTGACGTGGACCGGGCTGTTGCTGACGTGGACTGGGCTGCTGCCAGTGTGGACCTCAGGCGGGTCGCCCAGGAGCTCGTGGGCCTCAGAAAGCTCCCGCCGCTTCAAACTGTTGGATTCGGAATCAACGGTCCTGGAAGCAGCAGCCAGATCCGCGCGGGACCACGTAACAGCAGATTCTGGAACCGGAACCGAAGCTTCTAGAAGACGAGCCTCATCCAACTCCGCGGTAGGTTTCCTTGCAGCGCCCTGTGCTGCGCTGCTTGCTGCATCAACAGGTGCTGGCCCAAGTGCAGCACCCTGTGCATTCCCAGTCGCAGCAGCCTGCGCAGCGATGCTTGCAGTGTGAAGGATTTCTTCTTGATCCACTGCTTCTACGAGTCCTTCCTGCCCAATTAGGCCACTAGTGCCAAACAGTTCGTCTCCGACTTCTTTAAGGACGTCTTTAAGAGGTCCTTGTGAGTTGTCGGCCTCTCCTCGCAGTCCACCCAGCGCGGTCGACGGGAGGGGTCCATTAGAAGGTTCTGAACGAGCTCCCGCGGATCCCGCTGGAGGCGTAGCGACGAGCACTAGCAGCAGCGGAATAATTCCGGCGGCTGCGAGAGGAATACGCCGTACTGTTTGAGCGTTATTCACGCGAGAAGTCATTTGTTGCAAGGGCGGTCCGCGAGATGATAGTATGGTTATGGTTTTGTTACCCGCGGGTATTCAGAATAAAAGGGAGATGCGAACACGCGGTTGAAATGCGGGGAGTGTGACAGAATGGGGCCTTTTTGAACGAGCTACTCTTTTTGCGGAAACAGACTGTCGTTTGATTTATCTTGTTTGGACAGACACGCGACGCGGCGCGATGCCCCAGCAAGGGGCGAATAGCGCGCCTTGACAGGCGGCGCCTCGAGATATGCTTCATGGCTGTGATGGTTTGACATGCGGCTCGGATCAGTTGTCCCCCGTTGATCCCACTGATCATGTCCGATGTACGTGGACGGCTAGGATTCACTAGAAGGATGTGCGATGGGTGACTGGTGAACCACATACGTCAGATGCTCGGCTTGCTGTCAGGGATGAAACCAAGGTGGGTGGAGGAATCGCTGTGTGATGATTCCGCGATATAGAGAACGAGGATGGTCATGTACAGAAGAGATCTCACTTATCTACAAGAACATCAGGACTTTATTTTGACAGCGGATCATATCATTCGAGTTCATCCAGCGCACGCGCTTATTGCTTGTAAAATAAAACCAAGCTTATAACGAAGCAGGCTGCAGAGGCTTTTATGGAGCCGAGGAATTTGCCACGCCATCCCGAGCTCTGGATGTCGATGCCGCAGGTTGCGCCATACGTGCCGCCGCCTTAGGTGACGGCGGGCCACCAAGACCACTATTTCCTTGCGACGCCGTTGATTCCCCTGCTGTCGCGTTTCGATTTAGTTCCGTGTTAGATCCTTGTTGATCCTGCGATCTCCCTAATCCGCTCTCCTGGTTTTGCGGGTGCTTCTGTGTCACCGTAGCGTTGTCTCGTGCCAGAGCCGTCGTGAGCGCGAGCTGCGTCTGCAGCGACACGCTGCCCTTGTTCTCGAACGAATGGACGGCTGAGATTTCAATTGGCTCGTTGAACACGAACAGATTCACCGCCATCAGCGGTTTCGCGAGAACTTGGTCGCTGCTCCGAGCTGGGCTGTGCCCAGACGTAGAAATAGGGTTGGGTGACGAACCTTGCTGCCCGGCCCGGCGTCCGAGGTCCAGCCCTGCAGGACAGCCACGGAATTCATCAGAAGGTCGAGATTCAAGTATCAGCCAAGTACGCCCTGCTTTATAAGCGATCCAAACCGTTATTGGCAGAATATTACTGGTCTGGTCACTCACCTTGGCCGTCGATTCGGATTCGGGCACTCGCGGTCAGTCTAATAAGCGCGTCGGCTAGTAGCGCAGCGAGCGACGACGGCAGTTTCTCATTGCCGCCCGCCGCGCCGCTCCAGCCACCCAGCCGATCCCCGAGCGAAACATCAGCTCCGCTTCCACTGCTACCGTGGGTCGTCGACGACTCTTCGGAAGAGTTACCATTCGAGTCGTTACACTTCATGTGATTTTCTCCCTCCTTTGACGAATCTCCACCGTCAAAGCTCTCTGTGGATTTACTCTCCTCCACATTCCCTCCTCCCTTCGCTGCGTTTCCGACTGTGCCGCCCTCCTTGCCGTTGTTGTTCCCGCTCTTTCCGTTCGTTTTGCGCTTTTCTCTCTTGTCTTTATCCTTCTCCTCGTAACTCTTCTCCCTTCCCTCGTTCTCGTTGCGCTCCTCGCCCCCGTCACTCCGACTGCTGTCATGATGCGCACCCTTATTATTCTGCCCAGTATCAGCGCCGTTCCCCACCCGCTCCCCATTGCTCTCGACGTCTCCTCGGTCACTCAAGCCTTTTCCCGATCCGGTCGCACCCGACGTATTCCCCTGGTCCCTGTGGTTCCGAACCGCATCGTGGCCAATGGACGTTGATTTTCGATTCGAGCCGCCACTGGACTCGGACGCGTTAGTAGTCGAGTTGTCGTCTGCAGAAGGAACGAGGTGCAAGGAGCAGCGATACACGATGACGATTACCAGGCAACCCAGGGTAATTCGAACGGACAAACGTCCAATAGCCATCAACGCAGCAACAAGCGGGAGTTCCACGTATACTAAATCGTCTCAAAATCCAAGCACACGCACACGTCATGAAAGGTGGAAAAGGCTCACCGCAGAGAAATCTCCTACTCGCGCCCACGACAGGTAGACCCGCCGCGTCCGCAATCCTCGCGGCCGTTGCTCCCCCACCAGCGACACGTGAGCGATCCGCGTATTTCGCTCCAGAGTGGATCAGCGCGTGACACATGGAGGCCGACATCAGGAGGGAAAGAAGCCAGAAGGACGTTGAACCTTGAAGAATCGAAAGCGATCCCTCCTTCGGCGCTACCATTTGCAGACACTTGACTCGCTACTCGTAATTGCTAGATCAAAAGGTGACCGGCTGCTGTCAGTGAGGAAAAGCGAGTATCGTATTCAAGTAACTAGTGTCAAAATGCGCTGAAGTGACGCTAGGACGGAACCACCACCAAGAAAGCAAACTACGCACACGTCAACAGGCTTTCTCTCGCTGCTCGAAAGATGAACAGGACGGGAGCCGTCAATCGTGCGGCCGCTTCCGCCCCGAGAAAGGCAGAGCCTCGCGCAACGCTCCAACTGCGAGAATGGGGCCATCCAGAACTTGCCTTCGTCCAGGAAGGCGGCAGTTCCAGCTCATACGGGCCCGTGGATAGACGGGAAAGGTACAAAGCCGCCATTGGTAACCGTGCAGCCACCATAGCTGGCCGCACATTCTCAGCGTGGAGATAATAGGATGCACTGTCCTGTCAACGAGAATAAGAAATCTTTATGTAAACAATGGCAATAAGCCACATCTCCTGTGTGCCAGTGGTCTAGTGGTAGAATAGCACCCTGCCAATGCAGCACGGTGCAGACCCGGGTTCGATTCCCGGCTGGCACAGTGATTTTGTGCCACGTAGAAAGTTTTGGCAGAAAGTTTTTTTTGTTCAAATTGCTAACATCATGCCGCGACTTCGCCCGCAGTTAAGAATGTTCCAAACACAAAAAAGGTCGATCCTACAAAGCAACAGCTGCACCATCAGGTTGTGAACACAGATCCAACAGTGACACAACATGTGACTTGCCTGACTCTCTGCTTGTCTCCACATTGGCCAATCAAGACGCAGCAGCAGGTGCCTTCTTCTTTGCCTTGGGTGCAGGAGTCTCGCGAGTGAGCATGCGAGGCGCAATGGCCATGGCCATGAGCTCCTGGAACAGCAGCTTGCACGCATACGGCATGTGCACCTGGCATGACACGAGGAGAGGAAGAGGGCAGAAGAGGAGCAAAGCAGAAAGTCGTGCATAAGCAGGGGAAGGAATAAGAGGAGGGGCACACAAGTTTGTGCATGGGCACATGTGCCATGGCCATGGCCATGAGCTCCTGGTAACAACAGCTTGCACACATACGGCATGTGTACCCAAACGGCATGGGAGAGAAGAAAGCCCCACTCCTCCTTTCTCGCCTCTCCCCTTCCCTCCCCTCACCTGCACAATGTCTGTCTTGTTCTTGCATCCGCGGCACTCCAGAAGGCCCTTCTTCAGGTTGGCAATAGCGATCAGCCCGCAGATCTCGCACACGTGCACGCGGTACGCGTCGCTGTGGTCAAACAGCCGCTCCTTGAGGAAGGCTGCAGCGCCGTGGGCAATCATACAATCCCTCTCCATCTCTCCAAACCGCAGCCCACCGTCCCTCGACCGACCTTCTGCTGGCTGCCTTGTGAGAATCTGATACAAGTTTTTAGGATTTCAGGGGGATTGAAAGGAGCAAGAGGGAGTCACTTTTGAAAAGTCTCAAAGAAAAACCTGGTGAAATTCACCAGGGTTCTGTGGAATTGAAAGGGGCCAGAGGCGGTAGTAGTAGGTGGGGCCCTTGTGGGGATTACCAACATACATGGGTGGGGACAACACTGACCTGCACAGGACACCCCCTTGAATGGATCTTATCATCCACCACATGCTTGAGGCGCTGGTAGTAGGTGGGGTGGGGCCCAGGAAGATCATGCTCCTGCTCGCTACAAGCATACCTACCCACCAGTCCCTACCACATACCCCAGGAAAAGATGCTCACCTGCACAGGTCCTCTCCCCCGGGAATGGATCTTATCACACACCATGTGCTTGAGGCGCTGGTAGTAGGTGGTGCCCAGGAAGATCATTCCTTGGAACCTGCTGGGTACCAGCCTACCCACTTTTAACGCATAACTTACCTGAACAGGCCCTCTCCCCCTTGAGTGGATCTTATCATCCACCATGTGCTTGAGGCGCTGGTAGTAGGTGGGGAGGGGAGCGGGAAGATCACTTCACCTGCTGGGTACCGGCATACATTTTAAAGCAGAGAGTGGATTACCTGCACAGGCCCCCTGCCTCGGGAATGGATTTTGTCATCCACCATGTGCTTGAGGCGCTGGTAGTAGGTGGGCCCCAGGAAGATCATGGCTTGCAGCGGCCGCCCCGTGTGACCGTTGTACATGCGCTCGAACCCCCTCATCTGGTACCCGCACTTGTGCAACGTGCGGCTCAGATTGTCCACCTTGCACCACGTGTGAAGGGTTTGAAGCAAAGAAGAAAGGAGGGAAGAGTGGATGAAGCAGCAGCCACTGCTTGTAACCATCATGGCTTTCAGCGGCCGGCCCGTGTGGCCATTGTACATGCGCTCGAAGCCCCTCATCTGGTACCCGCACTTGTGCAACGTATGGCTCAGATTGTCCACCTGTGACACACACGAATGGGGAGAGAACAAGAAGCCAATCACGAAAGAAAGAGTCATATTCATGCTTAGCGTTGTACATGCGCTCAAAGCCCCTCATCTGTTACCCACACTTGTGGACCGTGCGGCTCAGATTGTCCACCTGGAATTCGTGTGAAGGGTTCAGATGAAAGAAGGGATTCGGAAAGAGTGGATGAAGCAACAACCAAATCTGGTAGCCGCAATTGTGCAGTGTGTAGCCCAGATTGTCCATGTTAGAAAGGGGGGCAGGAACAGAATAGCTAGGGGCATGTTGATGCCTATAGAAAACATTCGATCAAAGCCCCTCAACGTGCGGCAGTGCAGTGCAGGCGTCAGTGATGCGTAATTTAACCGAAAAACTCACTGTGACGTCAGTGAACGGAGTGGCGTCCCCCTTCCTTGCCCATATGCGCTGCCACTTTGCTCATAAGGCACTCGATGAGATGCGCGATGGTCATGCGTGAGGGGATGGCGTGCGGGATGGTGAAGCAGACTTGCTCGAAATGGCTCAAAGACTCACCGTGACGTCAGTGAATGGAGTGGCGTCCCCTTCTTTCCCCATGTGCGCAGCGACCTTGCTCATGAGACACTCAATCAGATGCCCGATGGTCATGCGCGAGGGGATGGCATGCGGGTTGACGATGATGTCTGGTGAGATGCCCTCCGCACTGAACGGCATGTCCTCCTGTGTGTACGTCATGCCGATCGTGCCCTTCTGCCCGTGCCGCGACGCAAACTTGTCCCCGATCTGCGGCACTCGGATGGAGCGCACTCGAATTTTGACGAACCGCAGCCCATCGTTGTTGGTCGTCAGAACCACCTGGTTGGTCGGTGGGCATGGGCGAGAATGGTTTAGTAAGCAGGAAGAGGGATGAGTGGTGCAAACTTTGGGAATCACTTTCGAGAATTCTCAAAAGTGATTCCCAAATGGCGTAGTAAGCAGGAAGAGGGATGAGTGATGCAAACTCGTCCCCAATCTGTGACTCTTGAGTCGACTCAAAAGTCAACTCTGTGGCAGGTAGGTAGACAGAGCGGACACAGATTTTGACAATCGGAGCCCATTGTTGTTGGTCGTCAGAAGCACCTAGTTGGTTCTGCACGTTTACGAGAAGAGGTGGCGGAAGAGAGGGATGTGTTAGAAACCATCATGCAAACTTGTCCCCAGTCTGCCGCACGCGGATTCTGACGAACCCGATGGTTCGTACGCACGCGGATTCTGACGAACTGGAGACCGACGTTGCTGGTCATCAAAACCACCTTATCGAGCACATTCGCAAGGTGGGGAGCAAAATCCGAAGGGAGCAAAAACCCTCACCATTGGGAGGGAGATCAAGGAGGGAGAATGAGTGACATGATCTCCCCTGATCTACAGCACACGGATCTTCACAAAGCAACCTACCTGGGCCATCCCAACCTGCTACACCACACAAACCCACCTGGTCGATCACGCCTGTCTCGCTGTGCTTGAGGCACGTGCTCATGTCCCGCTTGGTGAACCGCTGAGCCACGCCGCCCGTCTCGTCAGGAGGAATGGGCATCGTCTTGCCGATAATCACATCCTCTGCTGCCACTCGCGAGCCCTGTTGGTGGAGGGGTAAAGAGGGGTCGGGAGGGGTTAATAACGGTTGAAAGGGCATATTTGGCGTAGGGGACAGGCATGGAGGAATAGGCATTGTCTTGCCGATGATCACATCCTCTGCTGCCACTCGCGAGCCCTGTGCAGGGGTAAAAGGGAGGGGAGGGAGACGGAAGAGGCATTAAGGGCAGTTAAAGTCATTAAGTGCCGCAACGATGCGGCATGTTACGCACCTGTGCCGTAACGATGCCGTAACGATGCGGCATGTTTAACGATGGGTCAAAGTCAATAAGCCGCTGCCACCGACTCCCCACCCATGACCAACAGCCCAAAATCAAACGGCTATCCCTACAAGAAGGTGAATGTCTTCCATTAATCCCATTCAACCTTGTCCCGTTCAACTCTGCGTTTGGAAACTCACCGGGGGAATGATGCCATCGTCGTCCAGCTTGTCGTACGACCCGTGCCGCATGCCCTGGTGGATACACACCGATGGGGACGGGTCAGACACGTCAGAGACGGGCGGGTGGCTTGTTTGTCGTTATTCTCAAGAGTAGAGGGGGGATGATGAGGGTAAGAGAAAGCAGCGGGTGATGCCCTGGTGGATACAAAGCAAGGGGGGACAGGGCACGGCAGAGAAAAGGGGGACGGACGGCCTCCTTGTGAGAAAACTCTCTAGAGAGAGAAGTGGGTGAGAAGAACTCCCTCCCATGCATACATCCATGCATGCAGAGGTGATGACAATTAATCATGCTCACCCATACACTTGGTATGAAATTACACCCCCCTTACCACGGTCACAACTCAACACGATGCCGTCATGGCTCAAACATGGTGACGTCATGCCATACCATGGTAATTTCCCTGTTGGGACGCTCAAACTCCTCGTTCACCATGCTGCCACTCTTCTTCTCCTCGTCCCTGCGATGCGAGGGGGAGGGGTGAGCGTGAGCAGAATGAGAGGGAGGGTGACAAGAGAAACGGGAAAGAGGGAGGCAGGAATGATAAGGGGGAGAAGCATGCGGGTGAGC